TCTCTGTTATATGATAATGCTTACATATAATATCTTGAATTTGCTACCTTATTTTATGATTTGTTTAGAGCATTATCTCTGTTTACTTAAGTCCCCTGGATCACTGAGGTCAACTTATATTATATCCTTATTTCCCAATGGCGGCTTGGTTTTTTCCGTCTGATCTGAACTTTTTAGCTAATCACCTTGGATCTGTTGGACTAGTTTGAACTAATATACACAGTATTTTGAAGATTAATGTAAACGAAATATGAAGATAACAAACAGTAATCAAGCTCAAAAGTCCATTGGAACAATGCAAAGTAAGAATAGAGCAAACACGAACCTCTAACAAACATCAGAGGTGGGATCAGGTGCCATGGAGGAGTAAGCATCCCCTGTCGACCTAGCCCTGACCTGATTCTAAACCCCTTGCCTTGCTTAGAGCAGAAGACTTTGGCGGAAAATTGATTTTAAAAATGATTTCAGAATATCTACTAGGAATACTGCTTACTTTGTTCTACCATAAATTATAATAATGTTCTCCTTAGATACATGGTACAGATCCTATGATGAAGCTGAGTTAATCACATACATGTACTGAAAATGCAGAATATCTTAAAATGTGCTCTTTAACTATAAAATAACAAAGAGTAAATTAAGATATTATATTTTGAGCAACACGTAATGTCCCTAATTTCGGAAATTATAAAGTTTCATATGTCCAGCTATTGAGCCCAAGGGGCAGCTGTCTCAAACCCTTCTTTACGACCCCTAATCTATTGTACATTTTGTTTATATGATAATGCTGATCAGTGGTCACTATTCTAAAATTGTGAAATGCTGGTACCCTGAATGTCTATTTTTTAATGTTGAAAATGCTATCAATTTTCAAAATACCGGGGTATGTCTACAACTTCTTGTTTTGCATAATCGATTGGAAAAATTATTTGTTAATGATAATACATATATATGAGCCAAATACGCATGAAGAGGGAAGACATCAACACTTTGTCAGTGTGGATAAGGAGTTTTACATGCCTATTACGTACAGTATAATGTCATAAAGTAGTGTCGAATTTTGACTCAATATTTCGTTTTATACCCAATGTAAGGTCATTGTGTCATACTTATTTTGGCAACAAATTGATCAATACAGAGGGATAACAGTGGAGACCGTATGCTTACCGATTCTCCTCTTAGGTACTTGATCTCACCTAGTGTGTTTGTGTGTGTGTGTGTGTGTGTGTGTGTGTTTTCCCCAATTTTAAATATTGTTTATAGAAATTATGACATTGATTGCTATTTTCTTTCTTCACCTTTTGCAACAGATGTCCTCCATTGCTTAACAATTTTTATCAATCATTTTTATCTCTTCAGAAGTTCCTCAAAAACTTAAGCAAACAAAGTACAGTATAAGATGAGGATTATAAAATTCTCTTCTCACTTGAGAAAGAGGCGTTGTATGGTGAGCTGCGAATGAAAAAGAAAATAATATAATTATATAAAAATGAAGAACTGGATATATGTCATGATTTTCTTCATAAGGCATGTAATTCAGGTAATTTATGGTATAATGCTAGTGTTTTACGTGGGGTAGAAGTACAAATATTTTTTTTATCTTGTGAATATTTTATAGAAAACATACGTACTATTATACTAATATTACAAGATTGATAAAGAGATAATCAAAAAGAGGGAATGCTGATTGAACCTATGTTTTACAGGGAAAAAAATACTACTATAAAAGACAATATTTATTTTGGTAGCAAAGATAGATATTAAATACAATTAATTTTTTTGTTGATATAATAGAATTTGTCTTACTAACTCTACTGAATTCCTTTGAAAAAAGATAAAAGTAAACATAAAATTGTTTTAAAAATTACCTATAAAATTAAAAAAATAATCAAGGTTCGACACAGGTTTGTATTTTATAAAATAAAAGATTGTAATATTTCATGAAAATATTGTTCGTTTGTTGATTCAGTGACGATTTTGGAGAAGTTATTTACTAGTATCTGGTTCTAAGTAAAACACAATACCTTTCATGTCAGATAATAGAGGATATGCAGTGCTAGGAGTGACGTCTTCTCTTTACGGTGGTTAAAACAGACAATGAAACTACCTGGCCATCTTCTTGGCAAAGCCCATTTCCAGTAAAGATACTTGCAATGTTAAACAAAATGACAACGTACCTTTCCGTGTGGCCTATATAGTCCAACACTTTTAAATTTTTTATCATTTTTTTAACTTACCAGGTAAGTGATCGACTGAACCGATTTCATCCAAATTTGCTATAAGGGATTTATACTAAACAACTTGCTGGTTAATAATTTAGATATAAATTAATGATGAAGAAAAACATTCTGAATAACTTGCGAAAGTCAGGATCCCTTGGTTCAGTATTAAGGCGTCATGTTCTAATAAAACGTTTTTTTTAATCATGCATGGACAAGTCACATTTTACATGATTGAAATAAGCAGAGACTTTTTAAAAAAATATTAAGTTCATCTAACAACTGGGTTAAGTTAGTCTTATATGGAAAATTAAAGGTATCTGAAATCTTCTTTACTAACTTTTTTGCATAATAATGAAAGACAGTTATATAAATGCAGTCCTCAACCAAGTCACATTCAGATCCCTTTGACTCAAGATTAAGACCCCAGGTTGGGATTAATCTGCTCTCTATAACGGGAAGTTTTCTCGACTCGGGCCCTAGGGAAAGTAATTGGTCATACTCATTAGAGGCGGAGCTAAGATGTATAATAATTTCCACTGTACCATACAATAGCTTCCAAACTAAGAAATTAAAAAAAAAACTAAATGTTTTGTAAAATTGGTTGAATATCTTAAAAATATTCAGTGTAAACCGAGGACTCATGTCAAATTCCATGCATTCAAGCATTATAGGTAAAAGACACTTTCCAGAGGTATTTAATGAATGCTAAAAAAAATTTGCTTAATCCACAAACTGAAAAATAGAGATTTGATTTAATGCTTAAATTACTTAAATTAACTTTAATCTAAATCAACACTTTCAGTGATTGTTTTTGCGGCACCTGTTTCCTCGGTTTATTGGGTGTTATGCAAACGGAAAGGCTCTCGTATTTTCAGAACATTTTGTACTATATTCCATAATTTCAACAACTGTAACTCTAGGAGTTGTCCTGGATTTCATCAGAAAACGCAGGCGTCCTAAATAACAGTACTTTTAAAATAAATTCATGAATTCAAAATGAGGGCGGACCCAAAATTGTAATCACTTTTCAGTATTTTATCAGTGCCTACGTAGTTCAATCTTTTCCACTAAATACAAATACCACTAAATCAATCAAAACAATCACAGGCTCTTCATATTTCATCGCCTCATATTTTTGTACTCATATGAAGCAGAATTTGTTCAAAATCTTATACGTGAAAAGAAGAAAACACTTGCTGTGGTCTTCAACTCGACATTTAGATATATCGACGACGTATTGTCAATTAACTATGGTTATTTCCATTCTTATGTCGATACGATATATCCCGGTGAGTTTGTTATAAAAGATAAAATAGAGTCTGACAACTCTTTTTCATATTTGGTTATTTTACTAGAAAAAGACGTTAAGGTAATCTTAAAACCAAGCTTTATGATAAACAGGATGACTTAAACTTTTCAATCGTCAACTTCCCTTACTTATGCAGCAATATACCCTTATCACCTGCATACGGGGTGTATATCTCTCAGTTGATTCGATACACAAGAGCATGCTTTACGTATGTGCAATTTCTAAAACGAGGTAAGTTATTGACAAACAAGTTGATGAAACAAGAATATCAGCAGTCTCGTTTAAAGTCATCATTTCGTAAGTTCTACATGTATGGTCGATACAATGACCTTGTCAGCAAATACAATTCGACGGATTTTTCCGTTGTTTCCCGATCATACAAGGAGCACACGGCGGGTGTGACCGGTCGGCAGGGGATGCTCACTCCTCCAGGGCACCTGATCCCCCCTCTGATGTTTAAGAGATCCGTGTTTGCCAAGCTCCGAAATTTATATTGTTTAATGGACTTTTGAGCTTGATTACTGTTCGTTATCTCCATAAAATTTATTCATCTGAGATTTTCAACGCGACCATTTAGTTCATACTTTCTGACCGATATTGAATATCCGGTGCATTTACGATGGGCCTAGCTCTGTGACAAAATAGCGTGCAGTTTTGCCCTGACTGAATGAATTTATGAAAAACATTTACAGTTGTACCAAATTTCTTGAATAAAAAAGGGGAAGATAACAAATGTTGGTCGAGTGGTCGATCTCAAAAATCTTTGAAACAATACTTTGTGAACAAGGAATAAAATACGGATCACCGACAAAGATTTTATCAGGTTCAAGTAGGAGAAAGCATCCCCTGTTCACCTGTCACGTCCGCCGTGAGTCCTCTTTAGTCCTTGTTTTTTTTTTTTTTTTTTTGTTTTTGTTTTTGTTTTTTTTTTTGCTTTTTTTTTGTTTTGTTTTGTTTGTTTGTTTGGGTTTTTTTGTCATCTTTTGTTGAACGGTTTTTGATGTTTATATTGATTCGATTGAAATCAAGATTTTTTTGTAATGACTGTAATATTTTCGAGTTATATTCGGATTCTGAATATTGCCAATACATAATTTTGATTGCATTGTTTTGTAACCCGTTAACGAACCAGTTAATTAAATATCAGACTGAACCACGTAGTTGTTTACTTGGATTATCCTGATATTATCAATGTCATTCGTCGTCATCCATCCGCTATTATATTATAGGCGTATTAATGTTTCTTACCTAATCTCTTTAATTACAAGATATAACTAAATGTATACAAATGAACTAGATGTTCTACATGACACACATTATAATTTTCTCAGAACTTAATTTTATATTAAAAATACAGTTGACTGATAGGTTACTGGAGACTATGACATGTCAGTAAAGCTATTGGAGTACAACACAGGTAGTATATCTATAAAATTTTGGGTCGTTAATTAAAATGTTCTGGCTGTTAATTTGTTGTACAGATTGTCTCTGGAAACTTTGACGTCTCAGTGAAGCTTTTGGAGTACAACAGAGATGAAGAATGTAGCTGTGATCTTGCGTTCTACGAGCTTCAGTGTGGAAAATGTGATGTATATTTCAAGACATGCCTGCAACCTTTATCTCCGACACAAGGGTAACTTTCTTTCTCTCTCTATTATTCCATTTAACGATTTAAAAAAATTAAATCTATTTAAAACGTACATTAAAATTATTTCAGTGATATTCACATACGATTTAACTCTTCCATAGCACCTGATCCCACCACTGATGTTTTTAGAGGCCCGGCCGTCTTTGCTCTGCTTCCAACTAGTTTCAATGGACTTTTGAGCTTGATTACTGTTTCTTATCTTCATATTTCAATCTATGTATATTGACAAAGACTGGAATGGTGTTTGTTGATACAAAAACAAATGTTTCGATGAATTTCTTCTTACCAGTGCTATATTTAGTTTAAATGATTAGATTTCTTTTCGTATTTTTCTTCAGTCAGATCTGCAATGGAAATAATGAAAATCAGCGAGTTGATGACACAAACAGCTTTTTATTTGCCAATTCTCTGACAATCGCTGATTTCTACAAGTGGAGGAACATCAAAGGACAGGTAAAAGTTCTACATATTTGAAATCGCAAATGATATTTAGTCAAGGATATTATTGCTGATTTTTACCTTTCTTTCACACAGCCCTCATTTCAAATATCAGTGCATGCTTACGACTACGATACTGTCGGTGACAATGATGATCTAGGCGTGACAAGCTATGTGTACAGAGGGAATACAACTACAGGATTGACAGTGATGACAACACCCGGAAGTAAAAACCTACGGTAACAAGCAATGAAACTGAGTTAGCTTTTTAGCTTTAAAATTAAATTTTTCACTTAATTGTTCTACAGGAAGCTTATTAGATTCGTAGAAATTATTTTTGTTGATCAATTGTATACAGTTACATGGTGTCACTTGTGACATCAATCATCAGATTTTATTGATAAGCTACTGTAGCAGTACATTTTTCGCGCGTGGTAGTAATTTACGCTATCTAGGCGGTCAAAATTTTCCGGGGAAAGTCTCAGCGTACGTATGGTTCATTTTTTAAGACGAACAATGGCAATCTTAGATATCCGCGCAATTTCTTACCCGGGAATTGAACATGAACAGCGATTCCGCGAAATTACCGGTATTCATGGCATACAAAATCGAATCATTCATACATAAAAATGCTAAACTTTATATATTTTACTTTTATTGATCATTATTTTCGTTATCTAGGATCAAAATGCAACTCACAGTCTCGTGTCCAAGTAATTATTCTAGTCCGATGTGTGAAAAGAAAGAAAAAACAACAATGACCAGTACATCAACATTAAGAACTATAACAACGACCACAGAAAAACCAAAACCAAAATCAACTTCATCACCAACAACAAATGTACAAACAAGAACCTATGAACCAACAACAACTAATAAACCAACGAAAGCAAAAACAATTTCAAAAACAACTTTTACACCTACAACAACAATTATTACACCAATAACAAGGTCAAATACACCAACAGCAACAACCACTACACCATTTACAACAGTCACTTCAATAACAACAACGGCTAATACACCTACAACAACGACTAATTCACCTACAACAAAGACTAATGCACCTACGACAACAACGGCAACTACACCTACAAGAAGGACTAATACACCTAGGACAACAACTAATTCACTTACAACAACGACTAATACACCTAAAACAACGACTAATTCACCTACAGCAACGTCTACTACACCTAAGACAACAACTAATACACCTACAACAACGACTAATACACCTACACCTAGGACAACAACTAATACACCTATAAAAACCGCAACTACATCTACAAGAACGACTAATACACCTACAACAGCGACTAATACACTTACAACTACGACTAATACACCTATAACAACGACTAATACACTTTCAACTACGACTAATACACTAACCACAACGACTATTACACCTACTACAACGACTAATACACCTACAACAACGACTAATACACATACAACAACGATTTATACACCTACAACAACGACTAATACACCTAAGACGACATCTTATACACCTACAACAACGGCAACTACACCTACAAGAACGACTTATACACCTAGGACAACAACTAATACACCTACAACAACCGCAACAACATCTACAAGAACGAATAATACACCTACAACAACCGCAACTACACCTACAACAACCGCAACTACACCTACAACAACGGCTAATACATCAACCACGACGACTATTACACCTACAACAATGACTAATATACATACTACAACGGCTTATATACTCACAACAACGACTTATACACCAACAACAGTGACAAATAAATCACCAATGACAAACACCACATCAGCAAGAACAAATTATATACCAACAACAACAAAAACCAATACATCAACCACAGCAACAGTAGCTACACCAATAACAACTACTAATACACCAACAACAACAAACACTTCACCAACAATAATGGCTTACACACTAAGAGTGACTAATAAACCACCAGCAAGAAACACTACTACAACCATAACTTATACACTAACAACAACGACTTACACGCTAACAACAAGAACAGCCACTCCACCACCAACAACTACATCAACAACAATAGCAGTCACTAAACCAATGACAACAACTGTCACACCAACATCAACAATGTCTGCATCAAAAACAACAACTTTTATTAAGGTAGAATAAAATCTTATAAATAGCTGCACTCTTTAATTAACTTTTCTTTAAATGTTTGAAACATTCATGCATACATGTAATTTATCTTAATGAATTGTATATTTTTACATAGAAATGGCTACCTATAGTTGTCGGTGTTTCAGCTGCCGTATTATTGTTTATTGTGGGTATTGTCACGTGTCTTTGTTTAGCAAAAATAAGGTAATGTCATCAAAATATCGTTTAACTATAACAAATTCAAAATAATTATATTTAGTTTTTATATAAGGCTATTTTTCGTGCTTTAAAAAATATATGTTCGATGTATTTTTTTTTCAGAGTCCATCGTATCGATCCTGTAGTGTAAATTTGGAACTTATTGTCGAATATGAATAGTGGTGTGTACACTATGTTCAGATTCTCAATGAATTAAAGCTGAACACGACACAAAATAGTCATGAATATTTAGATACTTTGGGTAAAGAATGTTTCATTTGTTTTTCAGGGATACAAAAATGTATCTTGCATCAATGATATCAAAATTAGTAAACAAGGTGACCAGTAATACATTTTTATATCTAACTTCAAGTATGAAATATATTTAAGAGTATGGCAACATAAGTTGTTTTGGCAATCTTTGCATCCTTGCTCAGAAATGAAAACAAAACTTGAAATGCATATAATTCTGAAGGATATGATAGAGCTTTGTGTTCCGTCTGAGATAAATCCAGAGGGTCTTAAAATTCCTCCTTGTTTTATACCCTGTTCTCTTATTGTTTGTAGATTTCTTTCTAGATCCATGTTTGTTATATTCACCATATTCTCCTCGTGTACAAACTGCCAGAGAAACGTTTTACTCTATACAATTTTAAATTTCAGTCAGAGACTATAAATCATATAACAATGTTCAAAGGAGAAAAGAAATATCTATTTTTTATTTAAACATATTATTATTATTTTCTGATGGCCTCCATCATATTACAGCACATCACGTGACCCAATCTGTCAGCTCAACAACAATAAAAGGTGACAAAACAATATATATATATATATATATATATATTTCCAAAATGTATAATAAATTATAGCGGTATTATTTTGAAAATAGATTTTACCGTTCAATTGTTGTATATTGTGTAAATTTTACGAGAATGTAATAGGATAGAATTGAGCTAAATCAGTGCACAATATGGTTTTCCTGATATATTAAAAATGTATGTCGTTCAATTGTGTATTCATATTCCGTTACAAGGTTTGAGTGTTTGAGAGTAGTCATAAGGTTGAACGTTTTAGATTGCCAAATGATTTAAACAAAGAAAAATATACTGAATTCAATTTTTAAAATTGCAGTGAATATATAGATGTTGGTATACTCAATTACTCGCTCTCCCTATTATCGTCCCTCATACCAGTGGAGAAAAAAGAGAGAGGGGATTGAATTACCCTATTAATGTACAGAAACCTGCTTAAGGCAGCAATGGTTTCCGGAGCCAGCTTATTTCTATGGTTGTCTTATTTTTACAATGTTCAATCCTCTTGACATAGTCAGCATTTAAGAGGGCGAAAATGCTTCAAATGACACAAATCTATTTACATATGGTATTGAGAGGGCAACTAGGTATTGAGAGGACAACTAGCACTCTACAGGCGACTAAGACTCTGATTAATATAAGATACCAGTCTAACCCCCTGCCAAGTTTATCCAGTGTTACATGTGTTTTCTTGTTATATCTGTCAAGTATACTCAAGGGTACTTGAAAAGTTCAAAAATCAAGTATGGGCACCAGAAAAGTCCTATCTAAGAGCTTCATTACTCTCTTGTGGACTGCAGATAAAACTCAAAAAAGGTTGTTATAATGTATAAATATAAAGAATCAGGAAAATGCACCACGTATATGAAATGTATATAGGTTGTTCAGAAAGTTTGTGCACATATGCTCCTGACCAATCAACCAAGTTTTAGAACAGGTCAAATGTAATGGATATTTAAACAGGAGAATAATACACGATCACAAAAGGTATTCGTCGCATTTTCCATTTGGAGTACCGCCTTTTTGACGTCTTTCGGGTGACATTATTTTATTTTTAAACAAAAAGTCCTTAAAAGCACAGGATACGTGTTCTTCCGATAGTGGTTTGAAACAACTAATCCAAACTTTCTTCTGAAAAGTTCCTGCTTATCAATAGTAAAAACCAGCTAGCTGTTGCATACCTTTGTAGGGAAGGGGCAGGTCTTGAAGCAAAATGTCATGAAACCAGGATATAAAATTATATCAAATAGTAGGATCTTTTAATTTTCGTCATCACTATAAAACTGGTACGGTTTATCTATCAAAAATATGCTTATGCCTTTTATTTACCAGAGATATCCTGATCCTTTACACATTATTTGTTTCTAACGAAACATTTTTTTAAAAATCCCAACAGAATACGTTTTATACTGCTTGTGCTCTATGACGTTTATTGATATAGTTCCTAAATACTGAGCATTTAACACAAAATCCTACTGAGTATTCTTCCTCCTTTTCACACCTAAAGCCCTACTGGTTACATTATTGCTGGTAATGTAAATATATTTAAAAATAACGATCTGAAGGCAAACATTTTTTTAAAAATGTGCAAAATAGAAAGCCTTAAACTTTCAGACAACGACAGAACAATTTACTATATTTAGGTAAAAACTTTGATATTTTCATTTACGAGGGTCATTCCTTATATAATGCAACATACGATGCATGATAATAAATGTAGAAGCACTTAATTTTATTTTTTCCGGAAGTTCTATTTAAGAACTCATAATCACCGAAAACATGCTTTTTCCTACACTCTTCGCAAAGTAAAATTTTAAAGTAAGCATGGTCACTACACTGAGTTGAAAACTGTTGTAACGTGTGGACCTACTGGGTTCTACAAGGGACAAGTGTTCTTTATATACATATTTTTCCTCTTACTCTATCTAAGTTGTAATTGATTGGATCTATGTACAAATAATTTAAAATTGGTAGGCCGTGGTTCCAGAGCAAGGTAACCTGCACTGTGTTCCTGGAACAGCCAGAGTTCCTATTCTTTTGTGAAGTACCAGGTTCTTTCACCCTTATTCAGAATTAACCTCACCACAATTCCTCTAGACTGCTTCCTTTCCACTAGTGTCTTACTTCTAATCTTTGCTCTTTATATTTCTTTCTTTATTCTTTATTTCTTAAAGAGTAGCTTTATTACCTCTCGTCTTCAGCTTTCTTCTGTTTGTTCACAACCATTGATTCTGTCATCCAAGGCTTAGCATCTGCTAGCCTCTCCTTTTATACACATGGCTTATTCTACCCACAAAAGGGGTGATCAGCCTATTGAGAGAGTCCATTTTCCAATATCCTCTCAGATTCAGTGATGATAGGCATAGCCAAATACACTACCCATTACACTGTGAACCAATATGAAATATGTTTTTTTCATTCACCCTGTAGTGTTCAGATGGTTTCTGGAAACCATTAAAATCCAAAAATTGAAAAGGAACGGTACAAGATCCCATTTGAACTGGTCGATCAAAATCTGTAGGGACACCGAAAATTTTCGATGCTGTGAGCAACATGATATCTGTAAATGCCAGATTTACCGTGAAAGACGTTGGTAAGACACTAAATATTTCATCTTCAAAGTGTTTAGAGTTCTGACAAAGAGAATATGAAACTAAAAATATTTCTATATCAGATAGGTGCTTTATTTCCTTACAGATGTCTAAAAGAAAACGCGTTAAATGTGCCAGTGGTCTATTAAAATCTCAACATTATTACAAAAGAAGGTATGATAAACTTGGGTGATGGGTGTCAAAACATTGGTGCACTTTTTATAGCCGAAAAGGAAGAACAATATTTAAAAATGGAATCAGAGAGGAAGCTTCTTATTATTGCAGAGAGAAGCCAGATCTCAAAACATATCTTATACAGGTTTTCTCTTTAGTCAAGAGATCCGATAATACGCGAACATGCATTCAAAGGAAGGACCCTCAATAGTAGTTTTTATGTTAAAATTGCATTGAGGTAAGTTCAGCAGCTTTTCTGTGAAGGAAGTCAAGATACCGGTCCCTGAGTTAATTTTCTTGTGTCTGACAACGCTTCTGCAAATAAGCATAGAGATATAAAGGACATTTTGAAGATAGGGACGTTAACAGAGCTTAGTCATCCTCGTTCTCTAGATCTCAGTCATTATGAAATCATTTTATTCCAAAAACTCAAGACTTCATATAAAGCCTTTCAACGTAGCAGAGTCCAGTAAATGTTCTACCAAGGTCTTATCTTTTTTCCTCACAAAAATATTAACTGCCGTGAAGGAGAAATTTCAGACGTAATGTGCTAGAACATATTCAAGAAGTGGTGTAAATAAGAAGTGGGCTTTTAAATCACAAATCAGGGACGTAGCATTTTTTTTTTAAATTTGGGGGGCCAGCCAGAGAAAAAAATCAACTTACCTGAAATAAACTTGAAAAGAAAAAAAGAAGAAGAAAAAATAAAATTTTCTAAACTCAAAAATCCTATTTCATGGGGAGGGGGTGGGTGGGTGGGTCCAACTTCTTTCAGTACCACACTTTATTCATACGGCTCTACATTACCCTTATCTGTGCAATAAAATCGAGGGGGGGGGGAGGGGGCAACCGGCCTTTCAATGAACATTTTCAATAGTAAAAAGTTATTTTTGGGAAAAAAAGGGGGGCATCCCCGCCCCCTCCTGATGATACGTGCCTGCAAATCTATAGATAAAAGGTTATGGATTTTTAGTCTTCATACAAACACTTAAATAACATACTATGTTTTTTGGACATCGTAGACAACGGCTTCTTCCATAAAAATCGGAATTAGAATTTTCATGTTTCGTTTCTTGATGTAAATTTTCGGAGACAGCGTCTTTCCACGGAATTTCCATGGACACAAATTTTATTCCCTCATCAATCAAACTCTTTCACATTCTTATGAGTCAGAAAAATCTTGCTGGGGCATTCAATGCAACATATAATTACATCGACTACGTTCTTATCGACT